TCAGAATGAAGTTCAAACTCAAGCTCACCCACAATCCGACCCCAGGTTATCTTTTCAGCCTTATGTCTTGCAGCTCCCCTTCATGGACCCCTCATTCCAGATACACTAATGGTCTTGGATTTCCCAAACATGCCTTGATTTGCCTAACTTGGCTCTTTCCTCCAACTGGAATATAATTCCTCCCATCTCCACATGTCCAGGTTCTAAACATACTTCAAAGCCAAGCTAATAAAGCCTTCCCAGCCCACTGACGCCCACCCCTCATCAGCTGTAAAGGATCAGTCTGACCTGAGCTCCCCTCGCCCTTAACCATTCCTGCCTTAGGTCACTCAGCATGTTCAAACCTTGCATTACAGTTGTTTGCATATTTCTTAACACTTTCCCTATTATCCTGAGCCCTGAGGGCCAAGAAATCATCCCTTCCAGCACCCAGAACAGAGTTCTGCTTGCATATCTGGGGCCAGTATGGTAGCTTGGTTAGATGCCTGCAGTGGTTCCTCCCATTGCTGATATATACCCCTTTGCACTGTGACTTTGACTCTTTTCCTGTCAAGACGTGACGTTTATGTCTCCATCCTTTGAATCTGGGGTTGATCTTGTGCCTTGGCCAATGAGACATTAGCAGATGTGATGTAAGCAGAGGCTTGAAAAGCATTCGCTCAACTAGGATTTGTTCTCTTTGAGCTACAGTTGGAACCCTGGATCACAGAGAAGTCCAGGCTGGCGTGCTGAAGACACGCTGCTGTAATGTGTGGCATGTCTGACAACTGGCCCCAGCTCCAGACCTGTGAGTGAGGCCATCTTAGACCATCCAGCTCCAGTCCATCTGCCGGGTATCTGCTGCCACAAGAGTGATCCCAGGACACTCCAGAAGAACTGCCAGATGAGCCCAGCTCAGAGGGCCGACCTACAGAATAATGAGCAAATAAAATGGTTTGTTGTTTTAAGCCACTATTTTCCAGGGTGGCTTGCTGTGCAGTAACTGAAACACCCAATAGATGCTGGTTAATAAAATATCAAATAAGGGAAAATTCCTTGGCGGTCCAGTTGCTAAGACTTTGAGCTTCCATTGCAGGGGGCCGTGTGGTATGGCCAAAATAAAATAAAATAAAATATTAAAAATATCAAATAATAACTAGCATTCAGTGAGCATTCACTATATGTCAAGAACTAGTCTTGGAAAATTACATGAACTAATTCATTTAATCCTCATAAAAATCCTGAGGTAGATTTTATTACTGTTCCCATTTTACAGGTGAGAAAAGTGAGGCACAGAGAGGTTATATAACTTGTCCAAGGTCACACCTGCCAAACCCCAGCAATCTAGCTCCAGAAACCATACTACAAAACACTACACCATGTTGCAGAATGAGGAAAACTTTAACTCATCGCTTTGCTGCCTCAGAAACACCCTTCTTTACATACATGCCAAATTCTATAGCATTTTGGGGTCCAACGTCCAGTCTATGCTTCAAACCCTCCCATACCACGCGCCCTTGGGCCTACCCCAGGCTCTGGATCCCTTCTACCTGTTTCACGGAAAACCCAGTGTGGGGAACTAATTTACAGACCTGCCAATGTCTACCTACTCAGAAACTTTTCTGTCTCATCTCCTCCCTCCTGCAACCTTGGCTGGGCTGCTGGTTCCAGCAGTGCAGGTCTCATCTGGAAAGGAAATATTCAGGCTAGTGTGTCAGCGTTGCCCTTTGGACCTGTGTCCCAGCTTAACCTGTGCAGCCAGGGTGATCATTCACTCAGGATCTTTGGGCTTCTTTAGATCTTCCTTTTTGAGGTAGTCAAAGGAGAAACTGGATATGAAATGTTTTTTTTTACAAGACAAAGAATTACCTGAATATAACAACTGTCATTATTTCAACAAAGATGTATTTAAGCACCCACAATGGGCATGACACCATTCTGGGCATCAGGCCACCAAGGCCAACAGGACATGGTTCTTGCCCCAGGGAAGCGAGGGGAGGACACATGTAGATGATGAACTAGAGTTCAGCGTGTGAACCTCCATTGCAGGGTTCTTTCCAAAGAACCAAGGGTGCAGGGAGAACAAAGCAACCAGCGGGGAAAAGGGGACGGGGATGATATTTGAGTTGGGTTTTAGAGGATGAATAAGCCTTCACCAGATGAAAAAGGGAGGAAGGGGAAAGAGGAAGGAACCAGAGGAGGGAAGGAGGGGAGCGCATGGGCAGAGGCATGAGTGGATGGGAACAGCCTGTTTGGGGAAGGTCCCATGGTTGGGGGCGTCTGGTGGGCAGGGCATCAGGATGGCAGGAGCTGCTGAACCTGGTCCGTGAATGGCCTAATATGCTCTGGAGAGAGTGGGAAGCTCTGAAGATTTATAAAGGGCAGCTGGCCAAGGAAAACTATAGGAAGGGGACGGAAGGAAGGTAGGATTCCTGAGTCTGGGCTCAGGAATCTAGTTGCAGAGTCTGTGGCGAGGCTGGTGTGTGCTGTGTCAGGAGAGGCTGGCTGATGTCCCCCGGGACACCCCACGATGGTTTCCTGGTGAATTCACCACAGTCCAAGGGAAGCGCCTAAGTCAGAAACCAGATTTGTCAGCTCACCAGGGGGGATGGTCTTTCAGGGAAGATCTAAATTTACCAGAGTAACACCTGGGAATTCCCTGGCAGTCCAGTGGTTAGGACTCCGTGCTTTCACTGCCGAGGGCCCAGGTTCGATCCCTGGTTAGGGAACTAAGATCCCTCAAGCCTCACGGTGGGACCAAAAAATTTTTTTTAATAAATAAGTAAATAAACAAATTTACCAGAGTAACACCTGAAGGCTAATCTCCATTTCCAGTAACTGCTAAAGCAAAAGCGATTATCAGGATACCAATTTACAGAAGATATATATATATATCTCATATACCTATATCTATATCTATATAATCATTTACACAACAGCTATAACGGACTTGCCCATTTTCTTTCCATGACTGAGATGTGGTGGGAAGCTGGCCCACTGAGCTGCGAATCAGAGACAGCAGTTGGTCATGAGTCATGGGAGAGATTTGAGAGGGCCTGGAGCCCTCATCCACGTGGCTATTGTGCCTCCAGGGCTGGACAGTCCTGGCCTTGGGCCGGGTCCTCTGCTCCAGACACGGGTGGATTGTCACTGCTGGGGCAGGCTCTGTAATGCCCCTTTTCTGTGCCATCTGACAGCCACCTTCTTTTTTAGATTCTTGGTCAGGCTCCTCTGGCAGGTTTGGAACTGAACTGCTATCCCAGGGTTTTCTCAATCTTGGTTTCATGTTAGAATCAGCTGGGGGAAATTTCAAAGCTCCTAATGTCTGAGTTCACCCCCAGAGATTCTAATTTTATTGGGCTGAAATGCGGCATGGGTGCGTGGAGTTTTACAAGCTCCTCAGTGATTTCGGTGTCCTGTCAAGGTTGAGAGCCTTTGCTTTAAGGCAACTGCAGATCTCTGTTCTGGTCCACTGAACGCTGATTTTTCCCCTAGAGGGTCACTTACCATGGATCAGGTGCCAAGTACTTCTCAAGCGTGACCTCGTTTAATTCTTTAACCCAGCTCTGCCTTCGCCCCGTCCCCATCCGAGCACTTTTCACCATATGCTGCTGCCAGTCTCGATGGGAATGTGTCTCCTACTGCGTTTAGTCTTTAGGTGAAGGTCCCTTTGCCAGAACTTAATTCCTTCCCGGCTCACCTGGTTGAGCCTGGGTCCAGGCAGTTCCTGCAGGAAATGATAGGACTTCCGTGTGGTCTGAGCTTCCGGTTTCCCTCTGGTCACAAGCTGAGTTGGACCCAAGTCTCTGTTCCCTGAACTCCCCTCTTGCCAGGGCCTGCCCACTCAGTGTCCTCCCCTAGGGCTGGGTCTGTGGCCCGGGCTTCCAGCTGGGGAAGGAACCCCCTCTCTTCCTGACCTCACAGGTTCCTCTAGAAAAGACACTGACAGGATAGGTCAAACTATAGAAGTAGACACCGCACTCCACGTGGGTTCCTTTAGCCTGGAGGCACCTGAGAAAACTCGGTCTTTGAGGCCTACCTCCTCCCCACCCTACTCGTGCTCCCACACTCCTTTCTGGAAAATGTCCCAGTTCTTATTTATAGCCATCCAAAGTCCACGCCCCAGGAGGGGCAACAGGGATGTGAGGCCCTGGAGGCTGTTGCCTGACTAGGCGGAGACTGTCCCCACTGGGACACATCTGGCTCCACAGTCCCCTGTATGCCCAAGGCTTCCCCATCCCAGGGACAGAGGGGGACACCAAAGCTGAGGGGATTTGGGGTGGGGGATTATAGGACCTGAGGCAGCAGGGACTTCCCCCCAGGACCTCAGAGGGAAATACCAGGGAGTAGAAGCTGAAGTAGCAAGAGGAGGGGAAGGACAAGGGGAAGAAAGGAGAGAGAAGGAGGAAGCTAGGGTGACAGGGAATTGAGGGAAGCACCTTCCTAAGATCTCGGACACAGGCCTAGTGGGGACCCTGTCCTGGGGCTCCAGAGAACAGCTAGCCTCTAGATGCCTCACCTTCATATTCAAGACCCAGGGCAAAGGAGGAGCTGGGGAGGCCCAAGAAACTTCTGAATGTACTTAAGGTAACTGAATTGTACATTTTAAAACGGCCAAATGGTACATTTTATGTTGTAAGTATGTTGCATAAAAGTTTAAGTAAAAGTTTTATGTTATGTTATGCAAAAAAAGAAAAAAAAAGAAAAGAAAGGAAATGGTACAGTTACTTTGAAATGGTGTCTGGCAGCTCCTCCAAACGTTAACCATAGATTACCATATGACCCAGCAATTCAGCTCCCAGGTATATACCCAAGAGAAATGAAGGCATTTGTCCACATGAAAACTTGTATACAAATGTTCATAGCAGCACTATCCGTAACAACCAAAGAGTGGAAACAAAATATGGTCTGTCCATACAATGGAATATTATTCCTCCATAAAGGAATGAAGTACTGATTCCTGCTACAACATGGATGCCCCTCAAAAATGCTACACTGAGTGAAAGAAGCCAACCTCAAAAGACCACTTATTGTATGAATATATTTATATGAAACTTCCAGAATCTAGGCAAATCTGTAGTGACAGAAAGGTTAGTGGTTGCCTAGAATTGGGAATGGGTTGGAGGGAAATAGGAAGTGACTGCTAACAGATTTTGGAGTTTCTTTCCGGGGTGATGAAATCGTTCTGGAATTAGACTGTACATGTTAAAAGGGTGAATTTTATGGTATATGAATTACATCTCATTTAAAAAATAAGATTAAAAAACTGTTAAAAAAAACAGGAGTCTTCTGGGAAAAGTATGGCCATCACTTTAGGCTCCCGGCTGGCCATTCCTCTCTACTCTGCGACAGGAACCCAGGAGGTTTGAGGTCAACAAAGCTAAGAACCCCCTGTATCAGGCATCACAGACTCAGGATGCTCCCAGCAGGGAGGGGGAGGGAAGGGAGGATGGTGCGAGAGAGAGGACTGCCCCATCCAATTCCCATCCCCTCCCCTCCCCACACTCCCTGGCCCTGGGGTCCCAGCCACATTCCCCATCCATCTAGTTGTGGGAGAAGCCCGCGTGGGAGAAGGCAGGGAGGTGGGGGGCACAGGCCGCAGCCTGGGGGAGGCAAGCCAGGGGGTTGACCTCACAGGCCCCAGCACCCTGGTCCTCCCGGAAGTAGATGGAGTCAGCAGAATCGATGAAGGGGTCCTGGTCAAAGAAGTTGTAGGGTCGGAGGAAGAAGCCCATGCAGTTCCCCACAGTCACTGTGTTGGGAATGTCCTCTGCATGGGGGATGTGCAGGAAACCGGTTTTCACCCAGGCCACCAAGTCCTAAGGGGGCGAAGAAAGAGGATCATGAGGTCTGGCTTTGCTAGGGGCACGTCCGCCTCCCCCAGTGGCCTTGTATGGGGAGGACCGAGAGTTCAGCAGCCCAGGAAAAATGTGACATCATAGCGCTTTCCTCCTTAGTGGGTTCTAAAGACCCCTAGAGGAATCTGGCTTGGGAGAGAGTAAGGAGGCTCATCCTTGCTCCCCCGGCCTCCCCCCTCATGCCCACCCCCTCCCCCTCAACTCACCTGCCCAGCAATGGTCTCGTTGTTGAGGAAGTCAGTGAAGTCCAGGGTGGGGGGTCCAGGGGTCCTTCAAATTATAGATGCTGATGCTTCTGGGCTCCTCCTCCTTCCACCGGGTCACAGCCAGCTGGTACCTGCAGGGGATTTGGACTAGACCCACAAGGTCATCGGGCCATCCTGCTGCCTGAAGCTGCACTGAAGAGAGGACAGAAAGGGGAAATGAGCATAAAGGTCTTATGTTGTCCAGCCTCTTTATTGTTCTCTGTCCACTTCCCTCTCTCTCTCTCTCTCTCTCTCTCACACACACACACACACACACACACGAAGTTCCCGCATTTGCTCAATATCCTGTATCTCAAACATCTACCGGCCCATTGTTCAGACTTCCGGTGCGACTGTCACGCATCCATGCAGATGGGAGTCAGGGCCTGGATGCATGTGCACAGACATGGCCTGATTCCCATCTTAGGTGAATTTCAGTATCTCATGTGCCTGCATTTTAGGGAATATTCCCTCAGATCTGTGCTCCTCTCTTTGTTTTCCCCTCCAACCTTGATTGTGAACACTTTAAACATACAGAAAAGTTAAACGAATAGTCTAGTGAACACGCGTATACCCACATCCTAGATTCCACCTGGAGCATTTTGTCATATTTGATTCAGCACATATCTTTCCATTCATTCACCCACGCAGGAGGCTTCATTTTGAGCGGCCTAAGATTGTGGCTGCAGGAATGTGTGTGTGTGAATGTGTGATCGTGAGTGTGTATATGTACACACACCCATGGGAGGTGGGGGAACCTGGGTTCCCAGCAACATGGAGCCTTTTGTACAGTCTGCCTCCCTCAGTGCCTCTCTGACACCCCATCACCCACCTTGCCCAGCTCAAGGCTCTCTCCATGGAGCTGTTCTGGGGCAGGAGCTCCCCAGCAAAGCTGACTGTCTGGATGCAGTGGTCCCTTGGGTGCCCCCACTTGTTGCTGTGATTGCTAGCCAGGTACAGATAGCGAGGGGAGGGACCTCCCAGGGGGAAGGCGGCCTGCTCCTCCATCTCCGGCAGCTTCCGGGTCACCTGCAGCCTCTGTATCTGGTGCTTGGGGCTCCAGGGTACCGCCGTAGGGACAAAAGCCATGTCCTCAGCCCAGACCCAGTTCTCCAGTCCTGCAGGGGTGAAGTGGAGATGGTGGGGGGAAGGGGGGAGGGAGGGCTGGTCATGCAGCTGCTCCACCCCCTCTGGACTCTGTCCCCACCTGGCTTCAGAGTGGGGGCCAAAGAGAAAGCCAGACTGAGTGTGCCCCCTCTTCCCTCCCCTCTCCCCAAGATGTCCCTGATCCAGAGGTTTGGAGAAGGTCTTTCTTCTTGATATCATCTCTGGTAATAATCCCAGATGCCTTGTGACTGGGCTTCCACTGACCTTCCCCCTCTGAGGAGCTGAAGGGAGGGGGGTTTACCTGAGGTTGGAGCAGTCTAGCAGGCAACGTGCAGGACCAGGTTCTTTCTGACCTGAGGAAAGGGTCTGCCCCTCATATCTGAAGCCCTCTGGCATCACTAGAACTGCCTTCTCGTGAAAATAATCACAGCAGTAGCTCATATTTTTTGAACTTGGAGGAGCTCTGCACAGGCAGTGTGTTGAGGGCTTTACATGGATTGATGCTTTACTTGCACAACAACCTGATGAAGGAGGAACTATAATTGTCCCCATTGTACAGATGGGACAACTGAGGCTTAGAGAATTTAAATAATGTGCCCCGGTTTGTCACCAAGGGCACGTGGTTAGTTTCATGGCAGTGCTGGGGACCCAGGTCTCAGTCTGGCTCTACACTGCCTACACATCAGTACCCAGAGGAAACCAACACAAAGGGGCTCCACCACACATGGACAGCAGACACGCAGGTCAGAGGGAAGGAGAGTCAGAGCCCAGGCCCAACACTGCTGGAGCTTAGCGGTGTTTTCTATTGCTTGGGAATTGGCAAGGAATAAGGGGCAAGGCCAAAGACATAGTCTGTTGCCTGAATAGTTGGAGTTTTGAATGATTTTATTGGAGTCCAACTAGGTTCTATATTAGGACTCAACTTAAGTGATCTGAGACCAAAGAGCAGTAAACCAAAACATGCCGGAAGCTCCCTCCATACCTTCCAAAGATCAAAGAGAGCAGAGACTGATTAAGCAAACCCTCAGTTTCCCTTTGTGAATTACTGCTCCTAGCCCACACTCCACAGTTTCTACTTGTAGACGACAAAGGCCAAGAGTTCCTTTTCCGGTACATCCACACAAGCAGGCTCAAGTGGATAATACTAACAATAATAACTAATATTTCTCTGTGGGTGTCAGGCACCGTTCCAAGTGCTTTAAGAGTTGGCATAGCTTAGATGTAGAGATAAAGAGAGATGTATGCGTCGTCCGATGAGACAGCCTAAAAGCAATGACATCCCAGTAATAATGAGAACACCTGGTACCCAGATCTTGGTTTCTACATACTATTCTCCAATAAAAGGAACCAGAGATTCTTGGAGAAGTGGTTGATTTCAGGGCTGGAGCAGGGAAAATACAAGATGTAACTGGAATATCTTGCGGTGCCAGAAAGTAAAGAAGTGCTCAAAAAAGGATGGAGGCATGTCAGCAAGACACAGGAACCAACCTGAAGGCTCTCCCAATGGCCAAAGCTGAAACAATTTAAGGAACAAAATAAATGATAGTATGGGTTTATAACCCTTAGAATAAAATATCCATGAGTCCATACAGTTATGAATAAATAATTACATACATAAATAAAGTAAAAAGGAGGGATAACACTTTCTTAATGGAGAATTCCAATTAATAAATGTATAAAGAATAAGAGAAAAAATGTAAATGAGACAGCAATAATAATTGTTGCAGGAAAAACCCACCAATAGATGCTAAAATTCGTGGGCAAGAGTTTGAGGAGAAAAGAAATAGTATATTTGCATAGCATCAAAAATTTCCCCCAAATATTTATTAACTGAAAACGGAAAAACAGTAACTTTTGCAATGGAGGAAGCTGCTAAACACCACCTTAACCAAGTGCTTGAGGCCAATATCACTGGTAATAAGACATATGGACATCACATACCCCTTGATATGATGCTCTGAGAAGGGTATAAAGTCATTTCTGTGGTTTTCTTACCAAAAAAACCTCCACAAAAACGAAACCACAAGCTCAACCCAATCATGAGAAAATATCAGAGAATCACAAATTGAAAGACATTCTACAAAATGATTGACTAGTATCTTCTAAAGTGTCAGTTCCTGAAAGACAAGGAAAACCTAAAGACCTGCCAGACTGGAGGAGACCATAAGGAGATAGGACATCTAAGTGCAAGGTGGGTTGCTGGTTTAGATCCCGGAACAGAGAAAGGAAATCAGTAAAGAACTGATGAAATTCTCATAAAGTCTGTAGTTTATAGTATTGTAATAATGTTAATTTCCTAGTTGTGATTGTCCTGTGGTTATGCAAGATGTTAACATTAGGGGGAGCTGGTGACGGGTATGTGAGAACTCTATATAATGTCTGCAACTTTTCTGTAAGTCTAAAGTTATTTCAAAAGAAAAAAATGTTTTTAAATAGTCATCATTAATTCTCACAACAGTCCTATGAGGAATGCACTGTTACACCATTTTTACACTTGAGTAAACTGAGATACAGAGAGGTTAAGCATAAAAATGTTTCAGGTGTGGAGAAAAGGGAACTGTTTTACATTGTTGGTGCGAATGTAAATGGGTGCAGCCACTGTGGAAAACAGTATGGAGGTTCCTTAAAAAACTAAAAATAGAGTTGCCATATGATCCAGAAATTCCACTCCTGGGCGTATAGCCGGACAAAACCGTAATTCAAAAAGATACATGCATCCCTGTGTTCAGAGCAGTACTATTTATAATAGCCAAAACCTGGAAATAACCTAAGTGTCCATCAACAGACGATTAGATTAAGAAGATGTGATACATATATACATATATATATATGTACATATACATACACACACAATGGAATACTACTCAGCCATAAAAAAGAATGAAATAATGTCATTTACAGCAACATGGATGGACCTAGTGATTATCATACTAAGTGAAGTGAGTCAGAAAGAGAAAGGTAAATACCATACGATATCACTTACATGTGGAATCTAAAGAACGACACAAATGAACATATCTACGAAACAGAAACAGACTTACGATATAGAGAACAGACTTGTGGTTGCCGGGGGTAGGGATGGACTGGGAGTTTGAGGTTAGCAGATGCAAACTATTACATATAGAATGGATAAACAACAAGGTCCTACTGTGTAGCACAGGGAACTATATTCAGTATCCTGTGATAAACCATAATGGGGGAATTCCCTAGTGGCGTGGTGGTTAAGAATCCACCTGCCAATGCAGGGGACACGGGTTCGAGCCCTGGTCCCACATGCTGCGGAGCAACAAAGCCCGTGCGCCACAACTACTGAGCCTGTGCTCTAGAGCCCACGTGCTACAACTACTGAAGCCCGTGTACTTAGAGTCCGTGCTCAGCAATAAGAGAAGCCACCGCAATGAGAAGCCCGGGCACCGCAACGAAGAGTAGCCCCTGCTCGCAGCAATTAGAGAAAGCCCACACACAGCAACAAAGACCCAAAGCAGCCAAAAATAAATAAATTAATTAATGAATAAAAAAATCGTAATGGAAAATAATATGAAAAAGAATATATATATGTATAACTGAATCACTTTGCTGTACAGCAGAAATTAACACAACGTTGTTAAGTCAAGTAAACTTCAATTAAAAAAAAATGTTTCTCTCACATTTTCCAGGAGCCCTCCACTGTGCTCTCCACTCCTCCATTACAACCTAAGCCTACTGAGAGCAGGGATGTTGTTTCTTCTGTTACATTGTTTTAGTGCAGTGCTTGGCACAAATACGCATTCATTCGGTAAGTATTTGTTGTTTGCCTGAGTGTAATATGTTGTTATGTGAGAAATTAAAAGTGACAAAATATATGTACATTATGATTGAAATTTAGTGGTAAAATTCTAAATATGTATATCAGTATGTCATATATACATAGTATACACTGTAATATATTCTAGATTGCAGTTGCACAATTTTAAAAAAGGAAAGACTTTTTTTAAGCATGAGAGAATAACCACCTAAGGGTGAAAATCTCTGAGGAATTTGATGACTTTCACATTTTCTTCTTATACTTTTACATTTTTAATGTTTCAATGACAATTTTTAAATCTAGGCATGGAGACGTCAGCCCCCTTTACTGGAATCCTGGCCTCCGCCAGGATGTCTTACCACCTGCGTCCAGATCCACCTTGAAGTGGTCACTGTGGGTGTGGTCAGGGGTGCGGCAGCGGCCCTACCAGCAGCTCAGTCACATTGGGCTGGGGTTGTCCGCCAAAGAAGACGATGGCCGGTGCCTCCCGGGCAGGCGGGGGGCTCCCCCTGTCCAGGTGGGCCAGGGCTGCAGCCTTGGGGGGCAGCTCCAGCTCCACTGAGAAGACGCAGTTGTCTGAGGGTTGGGCCTGAGCTGCATCCACCAGGCCTGGTCCCAGCTTCTGGGTCAGAAAGCTCATCACAGCCGTCAGCTCTTCTCGGCTCAGGTCTGCAAACAGCTGGCTCTGGCCAGGGTGTGTCCAGGGCTGGGCACTGGGAGATCCGGAGGGGCAGCGGGGAGGCAGGCCGGGATGACACTCCTTCCCAGTTCCTTCCTCACTCCCAGCACCAGTTCACCCATGCCCATCACCAGAACGCTCCACAGGGACAAAAGAATAAAGGCAGCCATAGCTAAAGCTCCTGGCTGCCTCCAGGCTCTTGAATCGGAATGCAAGATAGAAAGACAGACAGACAGACAGACAGGGCCTGGGTGCACGATGCCCCTTTCAGTCTCTGGAGGTTCCTGGCTCTGGGTGGGGCTTCTGGGCAATGGCATGATGGGTACATTCAAGACAAACAGCCAAGGGCAGAAGGTTGGCAGGGGGTGGAGGTTGGGGGAATCAGTGGTCAGGCCAGGCTCGGGAGGTGGGGCTGATGTAGGAATGTGGACTTTAAGTGGCTCAAGTAAGCCTCTGTCCTCCTGTTCCAAAACAAACACACAGGTTCAAGGTTGTGGAACGAAGTGGGGGAGGGATCGGTTTGGGAGATACACCTGGAGAGAGGCAAGTGGAAGAAGTGACAGGGGCAGAAAGGGACTGTCCTTGGGCTCCTCCTCCACTCTCCAGATACGGCCTTTCTCCTGGCTACAAGGCCGCAAGCAAAACTCACCTGTGCACACCCCTCCAACCAGATTCCCTCCTTCCGTCCTCCAGCTGACGAAGCCCTCATCACAGTCTACGGCTTCCCCATCAACCAGAATCCTACCGGCACCCATAGGAGACTGGAGAGTCATGCTGAGAACATAAAGCACCTGGGAGGAGCTGGGGGGCTCAAGGGCTGACCCAGGTCAACATCTTGGAGGTCCTGAGCACCCTAAATCACTGGAGGGGAGCATGGGGGGGGGTGGAGCCATCCAAAGTTTGAGGGGGTGGGGAGTTTCAGTGTAACAGAGATCCCTCCCCACTTGAGCAGGACTGATGGAGCACGGCAGAGGTCAGGGCGCCTGGAAACTGGCTGTGAACATAACCTAGCTGCCCACAGCCCTCATTTCCAGGAAACCCGCCTCCAAAATACTGCAGAGGCAGAGAGCAAAGTGGCCTCCATTCTTGGACAGGTGCTGTGTGGGAGACTGCCATCCTCTGTGCAGCCAGGTCCTGAGGGGAACTAGGAGAGACTGAGGTATCCAGAGAGAGGACATGCATCTCTTGTGAGCCTGGAGGAGAATCCTTTGCAACCTGGACATGTCCAAGAGCTCTTCCCCAGGAAACCATGTTAGACCGACCTTGTAGACAGAGTGCGTGCGCCTGCAGGAGACTGGACAGGGCATTCCAGCCGAAGGGAACAGAAGCTGCAGAGGTACAGGAACTTGAAACAGCCTGGGCCTGGGCAGGGAACGGCCAAGGCCAGCTTATGGGGTGTGAGGTGGGGATGGGAGGGGGGCGGGCAGAAGAGGTCAGGTCAGGAAGCCTTGTGAGGTGTGTGTCTAAGCAAAGTAGTAATTGCGGAAAGACAGTGAGAAATCTCAGAACATGTAAAACCAGGGAAATCAACACCAGAAAGGTCAGATTCTCCAAATATCATCTGGTTATGCGACCAGCTCTATTTTGAGATGGGAATTCCACACAAGGGGTCATTCTATTACTGACCCGTGTCCTTGGACTCTTTAATCGATAGAATTGATAAGAAGCCAGAGGAGGAATTCAGGCAAGGCTTTACTGGGACTCATGCTGCAGCAGGAAGGAGTAAGAACAAAACACAAGTTCCCAGGACTTCCCTGGTGGCGCAGTGGTTGAGAATCCGCCTACCAGTTCAGGGGACATGGGTTCGGGTCCTGATCCGGGAAGATCCCACATGCCGCAGAGCAACTAAGCCCGTGCGCCACAACTACTGAGCCTGCGCCCTAGAGCCCGTGTGCCACAACTACTGATCCCACGTGCCACAACTACTGAAGCCCACGTGCCTAGAGCCCGTGCTCCACAACAAGAGAAGCCACCGCAGTGAGAAGCCCGCGCACCCCGCTCACCGCAACTAGAGAAAGCCTGCGCGCAGCAACGAAGACCCAACGCAGTCAAAAATAAATAAATAAATTTAAAACAAACAAACACAAGTTCCCTTGCTTGCTCTCTGTGGAGGTTGGGCTGATTCCTTACGTGGGGTGAGGGTGAGGGTGAGGCTGGGGGCAGATCGGTGGGTCGGGCCCGAGGGGAGGCTGAGGTGTTTTGCCCACCCCCTTGATGGTGCTGTGTGCAGGGGTCGTGCCCAGTACCCTGCTTTTCCTCCCGGCCCCTCAGAAGTGGCGGTTGGTTTGTGGCTTTTTCGTATCTTATGGTTCATAATTGCCCCGATTGCCCATGCATGCAGGTATTTTTAGTCCCTTGTAGTTTCTTTGTGTTCTGTGGCTCCAGGAAGCATTTGTCCAGGTGCAAGTGCAAGCACTCCTGTAAAGGGTCCCAGGTCCCAGCCTGTCTCAATTTGAAATGGGCCATGTGGACTTTATAATAAGGGGGAGAAGAATCTAAGGTCAAACCCAGCCCTGGCCACAGGGCAGGCATTTCCAGCCTGGGAACTTCATTCTGGGCCCTTTCATAAGTGCTGGTCTTACCTCCCAGCTAAGAACACACCTTGAAGAGGACGGCTAATGTTTTATGTCCAGACCAGTGCTACCAAGCACAGGTCAAGAATGTCCACTCTGGTGGGGTATCCCCAGGCTCTCCTATGGGAGGTGGGTAACGATCAGGGAGTGGGAGGGAGAGCCTTTGCCTTGCCTGGTGGGGGAACTGGTACAGAAGAAGGTGTCCCCTCTGCCCACCTTCCCTAAGTGTCTCGCTGTCACATCGCTTCCTCTGATATCGTTTCATCCTAGGCTTCACAGTCATCATGTCAAACACCCTAAAAACGTGTTGAAAAGTTGTCCCTTTTGGAGAATTACTCAGGAGACAGGACCACACGTCCTGCTCCCCCCACTAGGTCTTATTTTCATTTGGACCAACTTGTCCCCAGCCTCTGTGAATGTGCTGAAGATGAGTTTATCCCTGGGAGCCAGAGCCCACCCCCCAGCCCACAGGCTGAGGACTGGGCCCCAGGATGTGGTGTCTGAGTCGAGCTGCTGCCCCAGAGGCCCTGTGTGGCCAGTGGGACCATCCCGGACACCCAGGTCAGTGCTCTCTAATCTGCATTCTGGGGACACGGCTCTGGCTCCAGTGTGGAGCGGGGCTTGGGTGTGGGACAGACGTGGGGAGGACACTGGACAGGAAACAAAGGGCCAGGATGAGGCCGGTGACCTCGAGGACAGAGAGGAAAGGAGGGGTCTGAGTGACGTGGTGGGTGGAGTTGACAGGACTCGGTGTCTGATTGGGTGAATGAGTGAGAAAGGGCACAGCCTCTTAGGTGACACAAGGACACAAAGGTTGCACTGGGTGACTTGGGATGGTGGGAGACTTTCCTCAGAAGAAGGACATACAGGGGACTTCCCTGGCGGTCCAGTGGTTAAGATTCCGCACTTCTGCTGCAGGGGAACTAAATCCCGCATGCCAAAAAAAAAAGCAATGTTCTTCCAATCAGGAGGTCAGGGGCTGCGGACCAGAGTCAGTGACCAGGCATACTTTCTTACTTTCCCTGTGATCTCAGCAGAATTTGGGAGGTGGGAGGGGGGCATCCAGGATGGGGCTCTGATCAGGGCACTCTGCAAACAGGGCCTCCTTGGGCCACATTCTCACAGGAGTCCTCCCCCAGCCTCACCCTGAATTCAGGCCACCATCATTTCTTCCCCCTGACCCACCTCCCTGTGCCTAAGCCTTCTGTCAACTCTGTTCTTTGTATCTGGGCCAGAGGCAATGTCCTCAAAGGCAACACTGACCCTGTCACTCCCTTGCTTAGAATCCTTCCATGGCTCCCCATTTTCCTTACGGTAACTGTGGCTTGCAAGGACCTGCCTCCTCTGCCCCCTGCTTGGCTCTCCAGGCTCTGCTCACAGCCCACACACATGTCAATGAACTTGGGTACTTGGATGGGGCCAGTTTGTCACCTCCTGGCTTCTGAACATGCTGTTCCCTCTTCCTGGAACCTTATCTCGCTCTCTTCCTTCTCCCTCGGCCAACTTCTACTCCTCTGCCAGGATCAGCTTAGACATCAGGTCCCTCAGGAAGCCTCCTCAATCCCTAAGTCCGGGTTAGGAGCCCCTGCTATGTCTTCCTCCTACCTCCCCTGGTAAATTCCCTGAGGTAATGGACCCTTTACTGGCCCCTCTCTTCCCTGAGGGTAGACATTGTGCATCTTATTCCATAACGTATCCTAGTGCCTTTCAAGGTACCTGGCATGTAGGAGGCACTGGGGAAATCTTCATTGAATGCATGTAGGAATCTTTCTCCTGCACCCTCAGAGGGAGCCCTTCTCAGGGGGCTACAGGAGAGCAGAGGCAGGCGAGCATATCTTGTGCTCCTCACAGGGACTTCCCATGTCTACATTCCTGGAAGTCCAGTTACGCCCCTGACCTAAGCCTCAGGCGTCCCCTTGTCCAGCTCCTCTTATAGGGCAATGGGCCCAAGTCCTAAAGATCTTGGCCTTGGGGACACCAGTTATTTCAGAACCTGACATCCTGGGTTACTATTCCCTCCTATGGCTGGACCAGAAGTCTGAGGCTAACAATCCAGCCAGCCTCAGGGGTTTAGGAAGAGAGCGGGTGGGGTAGGGGGCTGGAGGTCCACCTTGCAGCCCTCCTGACCCCAGCTGGGCCGATGAGCTCACGATCTACGTGTCCACTGACGCCTGGGCCAGGGTTGTCATCTCCGTGTCATCTCCATGGAGGGCTGTCATCTCCATGACATGACTGAGAGACACACCACAGTCCCTTTTTCAGATCAAAGCTTGTGAGCGAGCATTCACACACACATGCACACTCACCGCTTGCAAACACTCACACTCTTGGTCTGGAGATGGGTTTCAAGGCAATGAGTGTCATGTTATAAAAACAGGATGGGATGAGGGGTGGACACCAGCATTCCTTTATTCCTTTTCCCTCCAACACTGACTGTTGTGCAACTGACCATAAACAGGAGCCAGAAGGAGGTGGAGACAAAATCATAAGCATGTAATGGAGAAGTGAAATTACTCAGGCCAGAGAAAGTAGAAGCACAAACTCAGTATCAGAGCCACGGTGGCCACGACATGCCTTTTTCCCCTCGGTCTCAGTCTTCAGTCTCTCCTTGTCTTCAATCTCTCTCTGTCCTCTGTCACCCTGGCTTCCACCCCAGCCTGTGTTATAAATTCATCCAGCCATCACTGGCCCTCCCTCCTGACTGAA